CCAGAATGTCCCATAGTGGTCAGTTCGGTTGTACAAAAATAAAAAAATAAAAAGACGAATAGTAACCGTGATCAAAATTGTCAAAAAAAAAAAAAAAAAAAAAACCCCAATCTTTGGTACATTGCTCTCCCTTGCCCAAAAATGATCCCTAAGGCTTCTAAGGTCAATCCCAAGTGAAATGAAATATGGAATGATATGAATACATACATTGGTACATTAAAGTAGCAAAATTAAACATTGGAAAAAAACTACCCTTGGTCTCATTACAATTCATTGAATAAATCACAAGATACAAAATGCTTAAAGATGTTACATCCACATTTAAAAGGTACATTACACTTAAAGCTATCCAATACATAAGGATAGGTTCAAATAGAAACTAATGAAATACATCCAAGCTAGATGAAGCTACGTCCATGCAAAGTTTTGCATTGTCCTGAAAAATGTTTATCAACGGGTGTGAGTAATTTAAATTACTCTGTAGGAAAGTGCATTATGAGGATAACCTAAGGTTTCATTGGCCTTGCAAGAATAACATGAATCATAAACATGTGGAACATGCCTCTTATACGTCTAATATAGGGTGGAGCTAGGGGATTATTCTAGAACTATCATTGAAGCATTATAAACAATATCCACATTTCAATAATGCACTTTAACAAGATTGAAACATCCAATACCAAAACCTCAAGCTACAAATACATATGATTGTCAACTCGGAAATGAATTATGAAATCACAAAGTAGGGAATATCTTCGACTCTCAAACATCCGGTTATGAATATCACAATTAAGACAAAATTAGCTCTTTTTGGGCTACTAACCCGCAAGGAACAACCCAAGTGGTCACTATAATTAGGGAGACCTCATACCTCCCTCACTAGTGCCAAATTATAGCTATCAATGTAATAATGTCCTAAGTTTCTTCGGTTATGAGTACATTCTTGTAGCTGTTGACTGTGTCTCTAAATGGGTTGACGTAGTGGCTACTAAAACTGCTGATCACGCAGGGGTAGGCATCTTAAAGCTTTCAAAATATCTACCTACATGCCCATTCAAGATCTCCAATATATATGCTTCCCCATTAAAAATTGAATCCATACAAGGCTGCTTATAGTAATGTTTCCTATAGCATTCCAACATACATGCTATTATGACGACAAATTCATTCTCGTCGTCATCGTCATCATACAATTTTATGATTGCCCTAATATCCATCTGTATAATACAAAATATAAGAAAAGACATAAATTAATATTAATTCTGTCAAACAAAAAACTAGTGATGTAAATAGTGTACTTAAGAGTACGATCATCCAAAGTAATAAGAAAATCAAATAACAACTAAAAGCAACACCCCAAATAAAATATAGTTAATAGTACAGTCATCCAAAGTCAAAAGAAAATAGATAACGCATTAAAGCAACACATGAAAGCAACAGGAAATCAAAGATTCATGACCCAACCAGCCATCATATCATCAGGAAGGTCATTCAGAAAGAAATCCCTCCACATATCATCAGTATGTAGCATCTTGGTGACCTTAGCATATTGCACAATATCAATGCCCTTTAATTGATTCAAAATACTACAGCATAACTTAAAATCATCCTTTGCCTTGTCTTTTTTTGACGGAGACATTACTTCAACCTCACATTTGTTATGGAATGGTAGAATATTATGTGATGTAACTTCTATTATGGCCTTTTCAATTCGCTCAGCTTTCATATTAGCATTGTCAGTCATTTTTTCCATGACAACGCTCATTGTGGAGGCAAAATTATCTTTCTTTTGTTTCTTACCATGAGGTTGAGGAGAGGGACTGATCTCATGATCGTCTACCTCAGCCAAATCATCATTTTCAAATTGCTATGTATGGTTGCATGGTGTGGGGGGACTTGGTTGATAGTGGGTGGTCTAGTCGAAAGATGGACATGTGCACCTGTAGCATGTGTGTCTCCAAAGATGGTGGTGAGCTTGTCAAAATGCTTGCATCACTTTTTTCGAAACTTTTTTGCACATTTATTCACCTACAAATTATTAATGTACGTTAAGTCTACAAATGTAAATTCAAGATACATTAATTTGAATAACTAACCTTAATCAACCTATCCCATCTTTCCTCTTCAACTATAACCATGCCTGTCTCAACATTGTATCCTACACCTGTTTCCGCTAACAATTTATTAAAGTGAGAGTAGTCTATCCTCAAGTGGTTGAATTTGTTCCTAAGTTAGCTCCCTTGTATACTTCTTCCCTCTATGGACCCTTATTCCTTCTACTAAATTACTCCAACCAATTATGCTAAAAGTTCCGGAAGTCCGATTACCAACCCTCACTTCTTCCTCCATATGGATGATGAAAATTTTGATATGAGAATCATCTCCTCTACTTCTACTGGCACCACATTATCATCAATCACATCCATCTAATTGTCCATATAAATTTGAAGTTAGATTTAGTATAATTTTTACTACCAACTAGGGAAAAAGAAAGATAAAACAAGAATCATGTAGTCCAAGATTTAAAATAAAAATAAATAAATAAATAAATAAATCAAATTTGTAAACATGAAAATCAGATACAAAATATTCGTATTGCATGACAGACATATTATACAGCCATCAAAATTGTAACATGAACATGTAGAACCACTGGGCCATACAGAGCAAACACAAACAGGGCTTTGCATTGTCGCTAATCCTGCTTTATTTTTTTTCTATTTAAGATGGAAACTTTTTACGACTTATAGCTAATAATTTCATATGCATTGGATGGGTCTACTATACATAGATTAATCATTAATTAATGTGCTTTGGATCTGCTTTGCACCGTGGCCTCTTGATTTTCTTTTATTTTGCTTTATTGTCAGTGGCGGATCAAGGGGGGCTTGGGTGGGCTTGAGCTCCTAAAAAAAAAAAAAAAAAAATTTAGTATAAGCATATTTAGCCCAATGTTTTAAAAAAGAAAAAATTAGTAGTAATATTAGCCCCTAATTTTAACTCATCCAAACAAGCCCAATATTTAAGCCACAATTTTAAAACAAAAAAAATTTAGTATAAGCATATTTAGCCCAATGTTTTAAAAAAGAAAAAATTAGTAGTAATATTAGCCCCTAATTTTAACTCATCCAAACAAGCCCAATATTTAAGCCACAATTTTAAAACAAAGGCCCAACCAAATAAGCCCAAGCCAAACAAGCCCTAAACAATCACTAAGCCAAAACAAAAGAACTCCTAAATTCCTAATCTTGTACAAATCATTGTACAAATCAGAGAGCTCACTCCTTCTCTCCCGATCCCCAATTACTCCTTGTTTACTACTAGCTCCCCATTGACATTTCCTGAATTCGCCTTTGTTTATTGTCCTTCTATTTATGATGGAAACTTCTATTAACTTCCAGCAAATAATTTCCTATGCTTTGTATGGTCTACTATACATAGAGTAACTAGGCATCACCTCCGAAAGGTTCATGGCTATGCAATATGTAATGGGTTGCAGCAGGCATGGTAGTGGGTTGCGTATATCTTGTTACATTACCAACATAAAAGATGAGCAGGCTGGGCAAGGATAACAGCATTTTTAAAAGTGTCAGCAGGGCATAAAATTATTATTTATTACAAATTTTCCAATTTTACATATAAATATGTTATTTTATTTTGGTATTGAGAAACAGGATACAATACGTAAACAATAGGAACCGTTTACAAATTAGAACAATATTACACCCTATCTATGGCAGATAAATCATTCGTTTCCCCAAATATTTGTTCCCATTAAAAAAAAAAAAAAAAAAAAGAAGCAGCCTCAAATAGAATTATTTTCATGGCTCGTTCTTAAGAAAATCCAAAAGACAAATTATAGGGTTTCCAAATATTTGTCCCATTTTCAAAATCAAGCTAAAATCGGAAAGATGCCTATTTCAAGATGCCTCAAACAATCAAAATTTATGGTCGTTGTTTAGAAAATCCGAAAGACAATATTAGGGTTCTAAATAAAATCGAAAAAGTTAGAAAAATCCAAATTAGAACAATATTACACCCCATATCTGGTAACCAGAAAAATTTACAAAGAATTGACAAACAGCCATGAAGTTCAACTTAATCGAACAAAAAGAAAGCAAAATGGTTCAAACCTAGGCTGTTCTGCGAGGAAAAGACTAATATAGCAAAGTTTGGTGGGCGGTTTGAACAAAAACTCAACAGATAGCTTCAACTTGTAGTCAATTTTAGTAACAAGGCACAAACAGTTGGAATCGCCTCCGAAATTGCTAGACGAGAGCAACACAACATAACCCTAGAATTTGTTGCAAGTTTGTTATATCCCAATGCTGGGTTGGGCCCAGTTATTCTCTCCGCTAGAGTGCGTGTCTAGCTCAAAAATTACTCGCAACAACCTGAAACACCTAAATGGTGTCTCAACTTTGGGCCCGAATTTTGGACACGTTGTGAAATTGTTGAAAACAAAATAAAGCGGGCCTAACATACTTTGGACTTAAAAATGACCACTGTAGCGGGCCTGGAAAAAAAACACCCAACACACTTCCCATACCAAACAGGGCCTAAGATATTGCATATATATGATAATCAATGCTGTCAGTCAAACATCAACTTAGGACTCGATTAAGCGGATATATATTAATTTTAAGCCAATTTTTAAATTTTAGTGTTTTAATTTCAAAATAAATATTAGCTGTTGTCTTAGCTCAAGACCTCCAAGTATGAGCATGATAAAATTAAAATCTCTTACAGCACAGAATTCCCTTTCCATCAAGGCCAGCGTCAGTTTAATAACTCGGTTCATTATTCCAACAATAGTGTTCTAAACAATTGTTCTTGCAGGGAAGGAAAAACCTTGTGATTCTCCAAAAGTTTTTTTCTGTTTCCAAATTCCTAAAAAATATCTTCAGAGAACTAAACCAAACTAATCCCTTCCTGGCCTCTTCATATCTTTGGCATCCAAAGTACCAAATTGATCTTGCTCCAATCTAATTTCATATAGATTAAACCAATAACGAAATAACTATAACCTGTAGTATAAATCAGAGTACATAGAGCACTTATGATAGTTTTAGAATGTATAGCACAAGTCACAGAGTACTCATTAACAAACATTAAAGCTAGAAGACCCAAACAAACAGAATTTTTCAACAGAACAAGACTCCACTTGACAGGTTTCGTGCTCATCATATCGCATTCTGCCCTATGAGAACACACACTATACCTACTTCTCATGTCACATTTCCACAATTCACCACCCTCACTTTTTTATTCTTGTATGAAGTAACCATCTCAACCTTGCTTTCTCTTCTGTTGTAACAACTGCAAGCAACCAACACAGCAACAGAACTGAAACAGCTCTTGCAAGACTTCTGACCAGCAAATGGCAAGCAACTTGGGACACGGAATATTTCAGATTTTTCAGTAAGTAGATTCATGAGCTGGACTATCTGCATGCATGTCCATGGAGGAATCATTGGAATTGACAGGATCAGAAGCCCTGTTCTGTTGTCGAAGGACTTGGGATTCATTGCTATGGACTCCATTTGTAGAGGGCTGAACAACATTCACAGGGTAGCCTCCCTGACCAATATGATAGTTCTGAAGACTTCGACGAACAGGGCTTGATAGGGCATTTGAGAAAACATAATTCTTGGGCTGCTGATCATTGTGCTCAGACCGAAATCCCTGCAAAGTAGCCGGTGTTTCAGATGATCCAGAAGAGACCAGGAAGCCTGAGTTTGTTAAATGTGTCATGGGTTGTGACTGCGGATTCTGGATGGGAGCTCTGGGTGACATTGATGGCTCCTCTCCATAATAGTCCAGCCCAGCCTGCATAGAGAGCAGTAACTTGATAAATTCCCACACAGAAAACACAAAAAAGTACTACAAAAAACAACATTGAAGATCTAAAAAATAACATCAAACGGAAGACTAGAAGTATAGGAACTATAAAGAACTCAAAAGTGTAAAAGGGAATGTAACAAAAAACAAGATCACGCAGACTACATAGATGTAACACCAAGGAGTTGAATATTTAAATTGTACAGAGTTTGTGAGAGAACCAAAATAAACAAAAGACAAAATTACTCAAAAAATAGACATTAAAAATCATCATCATCTTCCCCCCCCCCCCCCCCCCCCCCCCCCTTTTTTTCCTGCCATTTTTCCCGCATCATGAAGAAACTGTAGTCTTTAAAATGGTGAACATGTATCAATGGTACAACACAATAATGCCAATGCCCAACTTTGCGAAAGGCTGTATCATTAAAGCATACTCAACTCAACAAAATCGTTTCCCAACAATTTAAATTGGCTACATGAATCATTTTTGCCATTTGATCATAAACCTCAATAAAACCGCATATATTTATTAATTATCTCAGCCCATGTAAGCTTCAGTCTTTCAATTTCCCTAGCATTACCCTCAATAGGGACCACATCTCTTTTTACGTAATCAGTGCAGCTACTGGCTTTCACTGCACATGGCCAAACCATCTTAGTCAGTTCTCTTTCATTTTGTCTCCAATGGATGTTACTTCAACCACCTCACGATTGTGTTGATTTTTAATTTTATCTTTTATTGTCATGCCAACATATATTTCAATATGTGCATTTCTGCAACATTTATTCTATGAGAACAACGTTTTTAACAGTCCAAAATTATATCCCATAAAGTATGGTATAATAACTGATTTACTTTTACCTTCCAATCCTAAAGGTAAATGCCGATCACACAAGATGCCAGCAACACTCCTCCATTTCAGCCATCTTGCTTTAATCCTATGGTTAAAATCGTCCCAATTTCTCCCTCTTTGTGCATAATCGAGCCTAGGTACCAAAAGTTTCACTTGTCATACCTCTTCATCCTCTATTTTACTCTATATCCATACTTGTATTTGTAGTTTTGGTCCTACTTTTCTTAATTCATCAAATTCTAGAGTTTCTCTTCAAACCTTGACTTATCCATGCTCTTACTGTCCTCAACCAAATAGAAATAATCAGCAAATAACACACCTTGGAGCCTCATCCTTAATGTGTTTTGTTACTTTATCCATAACTAGAGACAAAAATATATAGAGTGTCAATCCTTGATGTAAACTTACAATTATTGGAAATTCACATGTTTCTCCTACAGCGTTGTTCTTACTATCAGTAACTCGTTTTTTTTAACTCGCCATATTATATTTCTAAGAATCCTATCCTCTGCTTTCTCCAAATCAAAAAAAAACTATATGTAGGTCTCGTTGAGGCTGTGGAGTCTGATCACTTCGAGGATTACAAATCTGGAGAAGTGCGACCGGTCGCACTTGGGCAGTTAGGGTCAGAACGGGAGTTCCAAGAAGTCCGACCATCGCACTTTGCTGATATGTGCAGGATTTAGTTTCCTTGTCCGTTTTGGAGTTTCCAAAAGGCTCAGAATTGTGGGGTAAGTTGTCTTCCAATATATAATGAGTTTTGTACCAACCTTAGGTGTAACAAGAGAGAGATTATTGTGCCTACACGACAGAGAGGAAGAAAGAGATTGCGAGGAAAATTCTCCATTGTAATCCTTCATGTTTTTCATAGTGAAATTGTTCGGTGCGCTCGGTAGACGTAGCCCTAACTTGGGGTGAACCACGTATATCTTGTATTGATTCTATGATCGTTTTTTTTTTTTTTTTTTTTTTTTCTTTCTCTCTCTCTCTCTCTCTCTTTGTGATTGATTGTGTATTTTACTCCTAGAACATCGTTTAGAGTTTCTGCCACAACTGCTATTCAGAAACTTTGGTTGAGAACCTAGGTCACAGGGGCGTTTGACGAGTTTCCAAGGAGTTCTTCGTATGCGACCCGTTTGTTCAAGTGGTAGAAATGGCATCAGAAGATAAGACATCCACAATCGAGAAGTTCGACGACACAAACTTCAGTTTCTGGAAGACGCAAATTGAAGATATCTTGTTCTAGAAAAAATTCTACCTACCTTTGGGAGATAAAGGATTCAGATTACCAATTACTTAATTGGAGGCTCTTGGCACCATCAGATTGACGTTGTCAAAGTCAATTGTGTTCAACATCAAGAATGAGAAGACGACGGTGTCTCTTATATCAGCCCTTCCTAGTATGTATGAACAGCCGTTTGCAACCAGTAAGGTACACTTGATTAAGAAGTTGTTTACCTTGAAGAAGGCCAAAGGTGGGAGGAAAGTCAACGAACATCTAAATGTGTTCAACGAGATAGTGAGCCAGTTAGAGTATGTTGAACTCAACTTCAAAGACAAGATCCGAGCACTGCTAATTCTAGGGCAATTACCCGAGAGTTGGAGTGGCACAATTACAACGATTAGTGCTCTGTAAGGAAGTCTAAGTTGAAGTTCAACAATGTTGTCAGCATGATTCTGACTGAAGAAATCATAAGGCAAACAAAAGGGTCTCCACTAGTGGTTCAACATTGAATCTTGAAAGCAGAAGCAGGGGTTCAAACAAGAAGAAAGGCAACGGTAATGGAAGTGGTAGATCCAAGTCAAGGAATGGAATATCACAATCTCGAAATCCCAGGAATTCCACAAATCTTAGTGATGCTAAGTATTGAAATTGAGGCGAGATTGCAAAGCTCCAAAAAGGAATACAAAATGTAAAACTGAAGCAAAGTTGGTCTCAGAAGAATCAGATGATGCTTTGATATGCTCTTTCAAGAGAAAGGCGGAGACATGGGTATTGGATTCTGGCGCATTGTTTCATGCTACCTTAAGCAAAGAGCTATTTGAGAGCAATCTACTGGGTAACCTTGGGAAAGTGTACCCTGGTGAGGATAAGCCCTGCAATGTGGTTGGCAAGGGTGAAGTGCAGATCAAGTTGAATGGATAGAGCTTCTAAATGTGTTTTAGCTTGGGATTTACTATTATCCAAAGACAGATTATGGGTGGCCTGGTTTCAGAATATATATTTGAGAAATTCTTCATATTGGCAGGTAATTTCAAGAGTTATAAACTCTTCTATTTGAAGAGTATTGTAGTTGTGAGAGACATTATCAAACTCAATTGCAAATACAGAATTGGGGACGGCTGGAAGATTAAATTTTTTATGGATCCTTGGTGTGATGGGAAGCTTGTTTCAGAGGTTTTTAACCATAGGATGTTATCTCACCTGAGCAGAAATAGGCAGAGCTGTGTTGGTCAATTTATTGCAGCAAGCAAATGGGACAGCAAGTTTGATAATATTACAAATGGTATACTTCAATTCATTTTGCAGTTTCCAATTCTAGGGGGGGAGGACAAATTAGTGTGGCATCCAAAGGAGTTTACATTCAAGATTGCCTGGAATGCTTGTAGAACAAGAAGAAAAGAAGTTTCTTGGGCTGGTTTGTGTTGGAATGGAGGAAGACCTCGATGGTCCTCTCATGCTGTGCTGGTTTTACAGAATTGTGTATTGACAAGTGATTATTTGCAAAAGAGGGGTGTGAATTTAGCATCTAGATGCTGGTTGTGTTACAAGGAGAAGGAGGATGTGGATCATTTATTTTGTTGTTGTGTTTTTTATTTTGCAAGTGTGGATGGAGTTACTTTGTGCCACTGGCAGCTACAGAATTTTCAAACATTACAAAGGATGGCTGCTGAGTTTGTTCAGTTGTTCAATATGAATAATGTCAGAAATAAGCTATGCAAATTGGTATTCACAGCTACGTTGTACTTTATTTGGAAGGAGAGAAATGAAAGGCTACATAATGACAAACGTTCTACTCCAAAGGAGATTACTAAATGCATTATTTGGGAGATTCTTGATATTTTAGGCAGCAGCTTACAAGATGTTATTTTAATGTTTAACTAGTTTGTGTTTTTTGCTCTTCATGTAAGATCTTTTATGTTTTCTTTTCCCTAAGGGGATGATTGTAATAGGGGTATGCCTCTATGATTTTCTGTATCATATTGTTTATATTTATAAAAAAATTCCGCCATTTAGGAAAAAAAAAAAAAAGTTGAATGGGTTTATATGGAAATTAAAGGATGTTAGACACATAGGGACTTGAGAGAGAATCGAATTTCAGTGGGATAGTTGTCGGATGAAGGTTATGTCACAAGCTTCAACGGAAATTCATAGAAGGTTTTCAGAGGTGTTATGACCACTGCACTTGGTAAGAAGACTAGCACTCTCTACTGGATTTCTCGTGCTCGTGGGTTGATAGCAGTTGCAGATAGAAGCAAAGAGGATGACAACCTTTGGCACTAGAGTCTAGGTCCCATGAGTGAAAGGGGCTCAAGATTACGCAATCGAAGGGGAAACTATCTGGCTTGAAGGCAATTGATATTGACTTTTGTGAGAGTTGTGTTTGGTAAGAAGAAGATGGTTAGTTTCAAGAAGAGTGGCATAATTTCAGGGAGGAGAAGCTTGAGCTAGTTTACACAAATGTCAAAGGGCCAGCCCCAGTCTCATCCATTGGCGGAAAGTCCTATTTCGTAACTTTCATTGACAGTCATAAGAGGAATGTATGGGTTTATTTCTTGAAGCACAAATACAAGGTGTGTGAGGTGTTCAAGAAGTGGAAGGCCACGGTGGAGAATGGAAGGGTTTGAAGATCAAGAGGTTGAGATCAAACAACAGTGAAGAGTATGAAAACACTAGGTTCAAGAAGTTCTGTTATGAGAATGGGATCAGATTGGAGTGTACGGTGCAAGTGATGTACTACAACAATAAACAGTGCAGGAACAATGTTTTCTAGTTTCTATTTTCTGTTTTAGGAAAGTTTTCATTGCTTTAATTTCCTAAATAGTTTTGTGTTTGTTTTATCAAAGTTTTCATTGATTTAATTTCCTATATAGTTTAGGATTTGCTTAGGTCTATAAATACATGCTATTGTAATAGTTTAGGAATTAGTTATTACTTTTATCAATATCAGAAAATCGAGAGTTTCTCTCAACCTCTTCTTGTGGATTCGAGTGCTTAAAGAATACGTTACTATTCTTATTTATTTTAATTTCCTTCAATGATCCGCTGCGTCAAGTTGGTATTAGAGCCATTCTCCATGGACGATGATCAGGGAGAACGTGCAGTGACTGTGGGAGAATGTCAACAATTGCATCGAGAACTCAAACAGGAAATTCAGACGGCAGTTGAACATCTAACTGAAGCCATGAATCGTGTGCAGGTTCGTAATAGGCATGATCAGGACGACCAAGCTGATGGTGTGAATCAGCCACAACAAAGGGCTGGAAATCAACGTGGTCATCTTTAGCGTGCTAATAATCAGTGCCATTTTCGACAGGACGTTTGGTCTAATTCGAGCGATGATCAGATTGAAGGTATTGTTCTAGCACATGGAGATCATAGGGTCAAAGCAAATCATCGAGATTTTCAGTTGAAAATTGACCTTCCGTCTTTTAATGGTCAACTTGATATCGAAGGGTTTCTGGACTAGCTTTCGGAAGTTGACAATTTTTTTTATTATATGGGTATCGCAGAGGAAAAGAAAGCTAAATTGGTCGCCTATCGTCTTAAGAGTGGTGCTTCTGCATGGTGGGATCAGTTACAACGTTCTCAAACCCGACAGATGAATAATCCAATTAGATCATGGTCTCGGATGAAACAATTATTGAACGGGGTGGCAGAACGGATGAACCTAACTTTGATAGAAACAGCCAAAAGCATGTGCATACATTCAAATCTACCCAAGTTGTTTTGGACAGAAGCAGTTAGTATAACTACCTACCTGTTTAATCGTGGACAGTCAGTGTCATTGGAGCATAGGATACCGGAGGATGTATGAAGCGGTAAAGTGGTAAATGTTTCATGGTTGAAAGTTTTTTGTTGTACTGCATATGCGCATATTAGTGACCATGATAGGGGAAAGCTTGACCCCAAGTCACTAAAATGCATCTTCATTGGGTAGGGTGCAGATGAGTTAGATGATTGACTTTAAGATGGCCAAAACAAGAAAATCAATAAAAGTACAGACGTGGTTTTCAACGAGAAGGTAATGTACAAGGAATTTTGAATCACAACCCACATACACCGTAACTCCATCCAGACCTACCGGCACTGCCATCTGTGAAACACTCTCCCCTAATAACTCAGGAGAAGGGCTCAGCAGAATATCCAGTTTATGATTCCTTAACTGTCCCACCTCATCTTCAACCTCTGCCAGTCAGCCTTCACCGCTATTTCCTCCCTCAACACCCCACAAGAAGGAGTAGAAGAAGAAGAAGGAGCAGATAGAACGCTTCGAGAATTAGAGAAAAAAGACATACCAGGATGACTTTCCTTTGGGCTAACCCATTTCTATTTCTCATTACGTGACCAGCGCTTTCCATCTCTAACTGTGGAAGACCGAAACTATTGTCCAAAGACCTCTGCACACAGCAGGCGAAATCTTTTCCCCTCTCGACTGCTATACAAACTGGCTCTAACCCAATTTTCTTTCTCTGTTCTCATTCAGTATCTATGGCCTTCACTAAAGCCCACTACAGAGTTCCCCACCTGGGCTTGACCCAACCCATTCACACTAGATCTCCTCTCCTCTTCCTTCGAGCCCAAACCCAAAACTCTCTTATTTGGGCCCCAAAAAACAGCCCTATCTCTCTTCTGCTGGACCAAGTTGTTAGGCCTAAACCCATCATTGGACTTGTGCTTCTGAATATAAGGACCAGCTGACTTATTAAACGGCCCAAAACCTCCCAGCCCAGCCCCTTCCAGCACCTTATCTGTAATCTGCGAAAGCTTATCTTCTGCACGTGCATGTCTCCACTCCACCCTTTCCCCACTCGCCTTCTGCGTGTGCAATTCACTTCGTCCCTGACATGGCCTTCCTCCATCTTTCTCCGATCTACCCAAGCTCGTCGAACGAGCTGAACCAGCAACGGATTTGCGCAACACACATCCATTCTTCTCAATCAAAGATGCCATGGATTTCGTCACCACAAAAGGAGCAATCTCCTCTGTCAATGAAATCTTGAAGGCCCAATCTTTATCTTCGACGATCACAAACTCCAGGATAACACCACCGTCGTCCACCGTGATGACGATCCTCTCTGTCTCGCTCTCAGAAGCCTCGAACTCCCTAAACCCACCACATAGATTCCCTATATGTTCAAAAAGCTTCTGACACCAAAGATGAAGTGGAAGGCCAAACAACACAATCCGTCTCTGCCTTGTCATTTTCCTCATCCCCAAGCACCCAACTCTGTAGTACCACAGATCAATAAGTAGTTGTGCATCCCCCCAAGATTTCTTCCCCCATCGTAACACCCTCTGCACTTCCTTCTCCGGAGGAAATCGAAAAAGCAACAGCCCATCGAGTAGATTCGAAACCCTAACCCCACATGAAATCTGCCAAATCCTTGAAGCCCACGCCTCAATTCCTTCCAAGCTACCCACATCACTGTCGAATCTCCCAACGAGGCAAGATTTGAGCGTCGTTTCCCGGTGACGCATACTCTACTCATCCACCCGAAGAACCACCCCTCTGTCTAAAGCCTTTCTCACCACCTCTCCCTTCAACCCCAATCGTGGCAGACTAGCAACATCCAAAAAAGACCTCTTCATAACATAGTATATGTGTATATAAAATCTCTCCTTGAAAACTGTGCCCTAAAAGCAAATTGCCCGAATGTGGAATAATTCCAAACTATGCCCTAATGTGCAAATCGCCCTAATATTGATTATCTATGTCCTTAATACATCTAATTTGATTCACGTCTTTAGTTGATCTATATCGATTCTTTGCCAACTTATAAATAGCTTTTTCTTTTCTTTTTTGATAAGTAAGAATATATTAGAAAGCGTTCAAAAGGGGAATGCATCCCATAAACTCTAAAAGAGCCGAAGCCAAAGAAAAGGTCCTAAGGACCCAAGGAACCCGAAAAATCAACAATTTCGTCTATAGATATACAATTTCTCCCCATCGCCCAACTAAAAAAGAGAAGTAATAATATGGAATTTCAAAACCTCAATGGAAGATTCCTCCCCTTCAAAAGATCTACTATTCCACTCCCTCCAAATACACCAACACACGCAAAGGGGTGCTGCCCTCCAGAAATCCCGGGTGTAGGCCCCCACGCTACAACCCCTCCAAGCATCAACAAACCCCTCGAAAACCAAGGCATAACCCATTGGACTCCAAACAAACCAAAGATAAGGTTCCAACAGTCGTAAGCCAACGGGCAATACAAAAGAAGGTGATCCACGGACTCTCCATCCCTTTTACACAAAAAAACCAATTGATAGTAATTTGTCTTCTCTTTCTCATATTATCCTTGGTCAAGAATCAAGATCTTGCCCCAAGCTGCAGTCCAAGTGATGAAAGCCACTCTGAGAGGAGCCTTTGAGCACCAAACTGTCTTTCAAGGGAAATCTGAACCAAAAAAAATCGGAAAGGCACAGAAACATAGAGCGGACCTCATACCTCCCGAGTAAAGGGCACCCAAAGTAAAGCGTCATTGCCTCTGCCTTCCACTTCCTATCTATACAGAAGATCCAGTAAGCCACAAACCTCGTCCACCTCCTAAACCTAGAAAGAAAGCCGAAACCGCACATCCCACATGAGCCTACCGCTATCAAGCTGATAACAATCGGCCACTCACCCTTTTCATTCCTAATTTTTCATATAAGTCATTCAGTGAGTCTTGCTTAGCTTTGCTAACTATCTTATTGGCTTTACAATTTAGAGCTTTTCACAATTTCCATGAAGCAAGCTATCCTAAATTCCAGACTATGCAAATTACAAAGACATCATGTATTTCTCCAACCCTGCACCATATCCTGATAGGATTGAAAATGATAACGTAAATAAGTTCCACTTGACATTTAAAAATTTGCGAATTCCCTAAATGTTCGATGTGTAACTGACAACTTATAAATAATTATAAATCCTCTATCACCAGCTACAATTTTAATTATTTACTTTGTGAAGTAATGGAAACATATTTGAAACAGCTTGGTATCTTGTCTGCAACATATTCAAGCTAAAGAATCCAAAATAGATTCCTGGTAGCCTGCAGAGTAACCTACGAGCAGTAGATCTTAAAAGGCTGTTAATATCAAAATCACAATCCTGAGTACAGTTAAAACAGATATTAGTACATCAGAAAGGATAAATATCATAGTGCAAAATGAGGCTCAATCATGATTAAAAAATTAAATTCATGTTTGTAGAAATGACAAGAAGTGAAACCTGCAGGTAGGTGAGTATGTCAACTGTAGTCACTCTTGATCCTCCCTCTTGTTGTCTCAAAATCCATTCATAAAGTTTTTCCTGCAAAAGATGGAACCAAATTATGGTCAATAAAATGTGTTGATAGTCTCCAAACTAAAAAAGGCCCGAGCCAAACACATCCTAGATATATAAAATCAAGGTCAAATGCCTAAATTTGTCTATTGGGTCATCCAAATTTCTTTCTGTTTTTGTATCTTACATTACTCTTTTCAACCTTTAAATTTTACTTCATTTTTATAGAAAACTCAAATATTCACATGTAGGGAGTAACATAGAAAGATAAAGGAGCCCTGCAAATTATTTTACACAGAATTACAAAGAAATCAAAAATGATCTTGATATGAAAGGATCTGAGATGTGAATATATAATTTGCAAGTTTCTAAACAAGAAATTTTATGCTCACCTTTTACTCTCTTTCTCCTCCATTTCTAGAGCTCAGTAAAGAAGAGAAGATAAAAGGAACAATTTCTAGATTATTTGATCTCCTGGGACGTAGAGAAAAGTTTAATAACCAAAAATAAAAGGATATACACAATAGGAGCCCCAATCAAGCCCATGGGCAACACCCGTGGACACCAAAAGTAAGCAACATAAACAGCAAACCACCCTAGTCTCTAACTTCATCCACATGTGCCACAGTAGAATCAAGAGTCCCAAAAATGTTCTCGTTCTTCTTCAAAATGCGAACTTAAACCAAAATGGTCTAACTTTGATCTCTAATATCTTGAATATTGCTAGAAATAAGAATGTTCTCTTTCCTATTCACAAATTTCTCAACAGTAAGAGTATACAAATTTGCCCTTTTACTCTTCTACCCTTTTTGTGACCTCCTTTCAATCGTCATTAATTTCCTTAGGCCCATCCTTTGGATGCATAACCTCTCTCCATTCCTGAATAACTTTACATATCTTAAAACTAAACACCTTACAATTATCAAATTTTTGATGATTCCAATGGCTGCAACCTTAATCTCCCCATCTACGCCTGAATTAAATAAAGTGATAAGAGGATCACCATTTTGAACTTCCATTCTTTGGATGGAGGGTGACCAGGATAAGTGACATGCGAAAAACAATATTTTACATTCACTTCCTGGATGTCATGCCCACACATCCTCATGCTTTGTGACAACCACATGAACTGAAACAAAAGGGGAAAACCCACTCGCAGTCGCTAGGGTAGGGCCATCTACCAGCATCCTCACCAGTATACGGGCCCTTTTCCCATGGCAAGTTGTCCCCGAAAGAAGGGACAGTCTTCATGCTATGGTATCCCACAATCCGGATGGCACAAAAATTTAGGGAATCCTTTTCCTTAAAAGAGCTTCTGCAATCGATGTTAATAGATACCTCAATGCAAACACGAGCATTGGCTATAGAGCTTCTACTAGCATTAATTTATCCAACTAAATGATTCTACACAAGGCACTAGCAATTATGCGTAATCCATTGCTAGTTAAACATCCCAAAGGTACATTAGATTAAATAACTTTTTTTTTTTTTGATAAGTAAACATGTGTTAGAAAGTGTTCAAAAGGGGAACACATCCCAAGAGCTGTACAAAAACCGAAAAAAGAGAAAGGGGAGTCCTATACTAGCTAATAGAATGCTATACAACAATTTTACTAAATGTATGCTCCCATATGTTTTGAAGTAAAATATTTTCCGAAAAATAATTTTCTTATTTTCTGGTGTTTGGTTGAACACAAAATTAGTAAAACATTTTACACTGTAAAACATTTTACATCTTTTGAATAAAAATCGCTTACCAATATAAAGTTGGTAAGTCATTTATGGATTAGTTTGTGCCTGCACCCATCATCCTGCACACATCCACGACACAAACATTCTCACTTGTTTCTTTCTCCTTTTTCTTACCCTCTCAAAAAGGGCTTTTGAACCAAGAAAGGAAACCACATACGAGGACAGAACCCTAACACATCAATGGCATCTTTTTTGTCCACTTTGGATGTCATCCAGGGCGTCACTGATTCACCTCATGACCCGAATTATCAACACATGAATGCAATCTCAATTGCGACTGCCAAAAATTATTATATAAATTAGGGCCCTAAGTTGGTAATTATCTACACATCAATGACTTTGTTTAGACAGGTCATATATGTGTTCTATACAAATTAATAAGATATTTTGATCACGTGGTAATGAGAATTTAATTGGTAAGACAAATCCTCAAGGAATTGTGAATTTAGTAATGAAAGTGTATTTATTTATGTATAGAAAATCCATGTGGCCAATTCAATTCCTATCAGATTAAGGCAAGGATGATGAGGACAATGATATATCATACGTATATTATTATTTAATTTATGGATTACATTACTTGCAAAGCAGTGGCTTTAATTTTCATTCTAAAAAGCATCTTTCCACTGTTCCACTTTATATTTTTAGCTCCTTGATTGCAAGTTTACCATCTACACCAACATACAGCATCTATTTAAAAACGTCTCCAACATACGTGACAAGCTCCTTCTACAAATATATATATCACTGAGCTTTACAACAAACTAGAAACTTTAAAAAATAATAATAATAATAATAAAATAAAATAAAATAAAATAAAAAAATAGAAACTTTTAAGATTTATATTCATGTGAATCACAGCATTAATTGCTTATATAAATTTAATATGGTGCTAGCCCACTTGAGTCTACAATTCAAAATCTCATATATTGGTAAACAATCAAGTCAAATTTGGTTGTCAAAAATAAACTGTCTATACCTATAGCCACTAAATCTGGTCCCTGTTTGTGACCGTCCCTCAATCTGAAGTGCTGGGAAGAGCTGCTGTGTTCATACCTACCTTTGCCTTTAATCTCATAAGTGACTGCCCTTAACGCAATCCACTATCCTCATGCTTTATACTTAATCTTTACCAATGTACCAACAATGGCCCCCCAAAATCAGATATCTTTTTTTGAAATACACTGTCTTTCTATTAAGATTGCTTCATATACCTTTTTGTGAGCCCTGGCGCCAAATTGAAAATTCCAAAATTTCAAAAACTGACTCTTTGATCGATCAACAACATTGTAAGGTTCCTTACTGGGAAAATATATATAAAAAAAAAAAATTAAAAAAAAAAAAAAAGAGAAAAAAAATCTTAGGTTCAGTTTTCAAATATTAATTCCCTTGTTTCTTTCATTATGCAATCAAGCATGCAACAATTTCTATACAAATTTTATTTGAACATCAAAGGTTATACTGCATTTGCAGTGCATTTGGATATAGTATAGGCATCATATTAAATTGAAAACTTGTTATGACTGGATTGAAGAGGAACCCACTCAATGTTTCGAAGGGGCCAAAACACCCTAAACCACTTCTACCTTACAACCCACTCCTCTTATATCCATATAATGAACAAAAGAACATGCTTGTCTACTTTCTAAAGGTAAATAATGTTCTTATGCTTATCGGAATACCTGATTTTTCTACCATGAAGCTGAAGAACATCTATTTTGAAGCAACTAAGTGATATAACGCCCCTAACTACTTGATAATCTACATTCTTAACAGCCTTACACTTCCAACCGGGATGTCACAAATTCCCTAATAGGAAAATTGTAGTAATATGCAAAAGCAATGTTTCGCTAAAAATATATGAGATATCCAATAAACCGCAAAGCAATAATAATACTAAAAGAAAAAAAGATCAATATTATTAAACCAGCAAGTATATCACTCTAATGAAATTAGCCTTGCACTAAAACATAAAATATATATTGGATGAGAATAACATAACTTAGATATCAGATATCAAGGAATAAACTGAATAAGTTAATTATAACATAAAAACAAACAACTAAGAAAATGAATCGAATCAAATAACAACCATGATAAATCATAGAAAACTGATAAACTTCAGCAATTGCTTTAATGAACCATTAAAATAAAAACAATACTCAATTATAGAATCATATGAGTATTTGTGCATATATATATACATACAAATATGTATAATATATATGTCTCCATTTAGTGGATGAGAAGAATACCAATCCATGTCGTTCACCGACTTGAAAGGAGAGCTTTTGCTGGTTCATGGCCTGCGTGTAGAGCTGAGACAGCGAATTGGCGGCGCTGCAAAACGTAGAGTACATGGTTCGATCAACCTCGTCGAGGCTCGTCGCCACAGACTTCCTTTTCTTCCCCATCTACAATCTTCTTTCTACAGTTCTCTCTTCCCTAACCCCTTCGATCTCAGCCAAACACTACCACAGTTAACTCAAATCTTTCCCCGCAAGCAGATTCCGGCCAAATTCACGCCGGCAGTTACCTTCTCTGGAAGCCCAGATTTTGATGAAGAAAGTATCAGAAGAAGCAATGAGGGGTTTTATATAGTTTTGAAAAGCAAAATGTTTGGAGAAGGGAACATGATATATATGGTAGGCAAGGCCACATGACACTTGCTCCCCTGTCCGGGTGGCAATACTTGGACCAGGTGGCAATTCGTGCTTTTGTGTTGTACTTGTGTTCGTGCGTCTTATTAATATCTTGTCAATGTAATGATATTATATTAAATAAGTAAATTTAAATTTAACCTATTTAATAATTGTGTCAAAAATCTCCATACTAATTTAACCCATTTATTAAACAAGTAAACGTGTTAATTGTTTAATAATCTATTTATCGAAACGAGACATTTAATATTTAATCAAATACTAAATAATAGAAAAAAATTATCATAATTAACCTAAATATTCCAAATAAAAAAGAAAATTTATAAGGCATAGATAAGATTTATATTAAAATGACTTAACTATTCATACTAATTGGGTTTAAACATGTAACATATTACACAGGTCATATTCACGATTATGGCATGTTGAGTTAAATGAGTCATAAACAAGTTACACGAGTTAAACCCCTCAACCCTAATCCGACACGGTTAAGTAAAAGGGTTAATCGTGTTGACTCTTTTATAACCCAAACCCGTTTATGACAAACCCAAACCTTTTTAACTCGTGTTGTAATTTGTCATCCCTACTTCGACCTAGTAAATAAGTGGAATTAAGCTTGGTTTAATATTGTTCGAGTCATAATTACGTAAATTTGATTTAATTCCCTATAATGTGTTTTGTTTAATCTATCTGATAAAAAGAATTTAAACAAGAGATAAGATTACGTGGTTCAACAAGGTAAGGATAACCTTGGCACAATTTGAAGTTCAAAGGGGTAAATCATATCCCTAACAAATCTGGCAACAAACGGATCTCCTCCGATCTCGCAAACGAACTGAGGGAGAGCGGCTATAAGAATGAAATCCTACCAGTCAATCAGGTATGACGAAAAACGATAATTAAATCCTTGTCTTTCTTTTAGACCTCCGGTGACTGATTTGATCGTCGAAGAGCTCTTGGCAGGCACCACACTGGTGCTGTCAAGATTCATCGATCTTCTACTCTCTTCTTTGCAGGAAAATAGTGTCGTATCAGGCCACGTGAATTTCTTCCCCAACAGTTGGCGCCGTCTGTGGAAAACGACTATTCCCTTAAATCAATAAATTACTGGGTTGGGTATATGCATTTGCGGTCTATATGGTAACTAAAGAACAAACATCGTTGCAGGGATCTAGTCAAAGAGAAGGGTCGGGTGAACACCAAGACGTCCCGAATGACCAGGAACGGCTTACAGCGTTAGTGTTGGGATTTATATGCCCTGGCATAGCAAATTCCTATCTGGATTGTATTGACATATGTTCCTGACATATCTGAAATATTTATGATTTATATAATTGGTGAATTCAATGTATTATGTTTCGATTCACTATGAAATTGATAGTGTCCATTTAATTACAAGAAATATTTATATATATGTATGTGATGACAATCAATGCATGATATATAAATAGTAATTATAAATTGTTCATAGTCGGTAATTATAGATGGACTCATAATTAATTAAGACTTGAACTGGATCCGCGTTAGGTTGAGATATATTGCGAGAGCCGTCGTATGCAATTACTCCCTATCACCGTCATGGCATTTGACTCTTAAGCATGAGAAAAGTATAGACTCTTTTATTAATTAATAATTACTTTGATTTGTTCGGCGGATTCTTCGGGATCCTTAGACCGACACTTTGGGTAGTTATGTAATTAATAGTTAGAGGGTTATATTTTCAATATTTGCATCATTGCTACTTGTATTTATTTTGTATTGATTATGGTTGATCACAAAGTAAATTCGAAGGCCTTCGTGTGTTTTTAGACAAAATGATTTATTATATATTTATTTATTTAAATTATTATTTTTGTCAAACAAATGTTTTATTGTGATCGAGTCAGAAATAATCAAAGGTACCAAAATAAATATATTAATTAAGTAGTCGGATTGATGGCTATATTTATCCGATAACTAATTATGCATAGAGGGGTCAAAGTGCAATATTGACTTAGAGGTTATTTATTATTTAATTGGAGTTCAATTAATTTCTTTTAGTGGAGTAGAAATTAATTTATGAATTAATTGAATTGGGTCCATGGACCGGGCTAATTATTAATTCATTGTAGCCAATAAAATAATAGGCCCAATGGATTCTCACTCATAGCCCAACTTGATATTGGAATCATATTAGATTTGAGACATATGAATTAGAGATGGAGAAGGATTTGTTGTTTCTTTTTCTTTATTTTTATGTTGCCTATAAATATACATGGTCTATGTATATTTTAAGGGGTGATTTTTATGAGAAGGAAAAAGGAATAAATTTTCTCTCTCTAGAAAATTAGGGTTTATGGTCTCATCTAATAGAGGCTCCCACAAGCTTAGTTTTCCAAGGTAATTCATGGAGGCTTATGAGTGATTCCTAAAGGCAAAATAATTACCAAGAAGATGGAGATCCAAGGAGAAGGCATCTTGCTAAGGGATCTACAATAAGTGAGAACATTCACTTTAGAGGAAAGTTTTAAAGGTTTACTCAGACCTTTGATGTAAGTATTCAATCTGTTAATTGAATGATATATCATATTTTATTTTTGCGTAAAACTTGTCTCTATGTAATGAATCAAGATCTATGAATTTAAATCCCTCGAAAAGTTTTTAAAACTTACACGTTTCCCAACAGTGGTATCAGAGCATGGTTTGATTCATTACTAGAGATCATGATTTTATGAAAATCATCATTCATGGATCCAAAATTATATTCATATATATTTTTATTGATGTATGATTTAATATGTTGATATATATTGATACATGATGATGTATGAATAATTGTGAATGAATGATGATGTATGGTTGGGCCATGGATGAAGCTTATAGGAATATTGAATGTAATTTTATCTTTGGATGAATGTAATTAAGGCTTTGATTTAGCCGTTTGAAAGTTCAATGATGTAATTTATTTTTCCCATTGTATTTCAAGTTGTAAATATTTTTAAAGCCATGTAATATTCATCAAAGGATGCTATGAAGCTTCAAGAAGGTCCAAAAGGGTTAAACTATGCTTCAGTAATTTTCTGGAATTTTTCCGATTTTTTTTGGAATTTTTCTAGAATTTTTTGAGACTTAATTTATATTTTCTGGAATATTCGGCGTTTTTCTGGCGACCGGAAAATTGCCGGCGGCGAGGTATTGGCCGGAGATAGGAGGACTGATGATCACATGCTTCGCGGTACACCAGAATTTGGTGCAACCACTATCAGGACCCTTGGATCAAAGTCAGCCCTGGAGTTGATAAGGTGCAGCGCACCTACATGGAGGATGGTATGCAGCTTCACAAGAAGCGCGCGTGAAGATCACGCGCCGTCATAGCTGGGAAAAAAAAAAAACAAGGCGCGTGGAGCTCACGCGCTGACCAAGTCAGCACCTCAGGCGCGTGGAGCTCACGCGCTGACTATGTCAGCCAAAGCCACACTCCTCCACGCACGTGCAGGCGCGTGGAGGCGCGTCCCACGCGCCCCTGGCGCGTGCCAGCGCGTGGGGGCGCGTGCCAGCGCGTGGAAGCGCGTGTGTTGTCCTTCTGCTTGCTCCAGGCGCGTGTGAGCACGTGTGGGGTCCTCGGGGTTCGTTTCAAGCAGTATTTTACTTCTCCTAACGCGTACAAGCTTCCTATGGATGTTTATAGACTAGTGAAGGAAGCCCGCACAGCAAGAATAGGTTTTAGATGTTAAAAGCTGAATCCATTGGCCATTTAAATTGCTTCTGTCTGTTATTTATTTATTTAACTGATGCATGGAATAATTAATTGTTTATTATTATTATTCATGCATTGGATCCATGATATTTAATTAAATGACTTGATTATATTAATTAAATTATGAAAATTAATTGGATTTGATTACTAATTAATTTGAGAGCACTTATTGAGAAACGAAAAATTATTTTTGTAAATTATTTTTAAAGTGTGCCTCAAATTAAATATTAGTGAATCGTTTAAAGTCCAAATATTTTCTAAATTTAATTGGATTAAAATCAAGACGTTTTGCATGCATTATATCATGTGAATAAATAAATTCAAAACCCTAATTATGAATGATTAAAAATTGAGTGGGAGCGGGGATTTTTATACATTGCCCCATGGTCTTCGTTATTAATACCATTGTAATTAGATCTTCAAAAATAAGGCCTCACGCATGATTTGAAGAGTCTTAATATTACAAGAATGGTTTTCTCATAAAAATAATAATATTAAATGTTCATTATAATTAGATCTTTAAAAATAAGGCCCTACGCATGATTTAAAGAGTCTAGATTATAGTGACAAGATATTTAATATTTTATTTTTCATTAGAGCATTAATAATGTTATACACTCAATCTAAAATCAATAGTGTTAGCTCCCCAACAGAGTGGTCTACACTAGGTGATTTTAGAAAGGCTAAACATAATCGGGAATCATTTCATATAGATAGATAAGGCATTGTCTTCAGAGATATGGAGATGATGGGATTTGTTCGCCAATAGCAATAATGAACTTCGCCTACCGAATAAGTTATTGGTGTATTGGTTATCCGATTTTTCATGCAGTGGTTAAGGGACCCACATACTATTTTAATGGAAGTGCTCACCTAATAGTAGATGAATCTCAACAATAGTAATAATGAACTCCTCCAACAGGATAAGTTATTGACATATTGATTGGTTGATTTATTTTGCTACAGAGTTGAGGGACCCGCATTAATTAAAAGGGATTGTTCACCAATAATGATAATGATCTATTGTTCAATTGAGATTTATTATATTATGTGGTTAACAAACTCATTTTAATTTTAAATATGCATGACAGTATTAATAATTCACCTTGCATATTGTATGAATGCATTTATATTCAGATTAATTATGTCTAATCTAGTTTATCTGCTTGCTTACATATTCAATGTAACTGGACTTCATTAATATTGACTGGGAAAG